TTTTTTTTTTCCACCAATGCCATCTGGCTTGAGTGTGACGGGTGCCTGTAGGGAGCTTGGCGCGGGGGGCTCGTGGCTTGGTTGCTGGTTGGGCAGGCCAGTCGGGTGTTCTAGCGCCTTGGGGATGTGACTGCGGTTGCAGCCCCCGGGCTTCGTAGGCACCTTCCCTCCACTAGCGACTTGGGCGTTAATAATGATAGAAAAAGAGTATGCGACGCTATAATTCCCTGTGCCTGTATTAAAAACTGGATGATTGCATAACGCAGTTCAAGAGTTTTTCATTGGCTTAGCCATTATGGAATGTGAGCCAATATATACCACGCTCTTCAAATATGGGAAGCGTACGCGTGACTTTTTGGAGTTTTTTTCATCTTTATTATATTTTAGTTTTCTATATCTTGGGGCGTTTTTAATAAAACAATGATTTCGCTCGCGCTTGTTAGATATGAGATGATTATAATATAGCCAGCGAGGCGCTACATGCGGCTCAAAGACAAATGTACAGAGTGATGCTTATTCGTCAATTGCTAACCGGAATAATTTGTATGATTCTACTTGTTTTGAGCTGTATGTAACGTATCAAACATGTAGTGCTGGAAAATGAACAGTGCAAGCAAGCAAATTTAAAAGTGTCTATTTGATTTGAAATGTAAAGGAAATTAGCTCCTGGCCGATAGAGCTCTTAAAAGGTACGTCAATCCGATTCTTTTCATGGTTGTTATCTTTAGCTGTTGCTTATGAGTGTACAAGGACAATTACAAGCATTTATCCTGACAAGGGTCTTATAGACAAGGCCGCTAGGTGTGTGGGCGTATTTCTTGTGGCCAAAAGTAATGACATCAAATACTTGGGTAAGTGGTTCAAGTGTTTTTTTTTTTTCCTACCATCCATCATTCACGTGGATTTTCACATGAATATTGTAGCTATTCTAACCGTTTGTTCGTGGCAAGTCCGACTCGGCGTGTCGTCTCGGCCAAGAGACTTTTCAGGGACCTTTCAGAATTCAATAGCACACCCTCTGAGAATGGCGCTCAAAGTCCCTTTCACAAATTCAAGATGCTAGCAGTCTGGCCTTCAAACCGTACGTTTACGAGTTTGATGTTGAATTCTGAAAGGTATCCGAAGAACCTCTTGGCTTAGACGAAACCCTGTGTCAGAGTTGCCACGAACTATTTTTCATAAGTATTTGACAATTTTTTATTGTCTACAGCTGTACTAGGAAAATGTCATGTTTGATATTTGTGGTTTACCATATCCAAAATCGGAATTGACTAATCAGAAGCCTTGTTTACCGCCCTGATTTTCTGCAACATCACCAACCTCTTAATGCCGGAATTTTGGCCAAATTCTAAGTACTGTGGATCCCTAATGCCGTAATGGTGGCTTTTTCACAAACTTCTGCTGCATATCAGACTCGTTTGGTCTCGTATTTTGGCCTGATCGGTCTCGCCGAAATACTTGTACGAACGATAGCTCAACTGAACTCAGCTGATAAACACCCTGAGAATGTCAAAAAGGTACGAAAGCACTGCATGGCCATTTTAATACCACTTTAATTCAATTCCTCTTTTAGTATTAAACTTAACTTCTCGGAATTGGACCGGAACAAGCTTGCAATGGAGGCTCATGCGGGCCAATATCATCAATGTCATTTGCATTTCAAAATACTCCCCTTATTAGCCTCAGCTAGTTCCAGTCCAGTACCGAGAATACAAATATGGCCTGTTGTATTGTACATTCGACCGTTTTTCAGTGATGATCAACTACTTATCGAAGACTTACAGATATTGTCTAGAGTGCATTTGGCCGTATTAGATCATTTTCGGAACATTACCCGTATTACTGACCGAAGAATACTGAAGTTCCTGATTACTTCCGTAGGGAGGTTATGTTTCAAGTTGTCTTCACCATATCCTATCGTATTCCAAACTCTTTTTAATAAATTATTTAGTCTAGGAAAACTGGCGAAAATCAAAAGATTGCGTACGGTACTACCGAAAATGCAACGGCTCTTCTAGCCGTCGGATTAGTTCGTAAAAAGAAATATTCAATACATGCTTTTCCGTTGAATCCAAAGTCTGTAACACATACTATAGCATTTTCGATAACAATTCTTTAGAATACTCGACATGCATTAACCTTCAAATTTTTCGGAAATAGTGAGAACCCTTTTAGCAACCTTCGACCATTTTCAGGAAATGTCTGGTATTGGTTAGGAACGGTTGAGATCATTTTGATCATTTTGATCTTCGTGTGCAGTTCTCGTAACACTGCTTGATATCGTTGGTCAAATTCATCAATTTGTTACACCCATTTTGTTAGGGTAATGTTCATGTAGTAATTCCATGAGTTTGTTATGGACACTGACAAAGTAAAGTTCCTCTCTCGGTATTCCATAGGCATCAATTCATTAACATCTCTGATCCAAATGGGCGGTGGATTTGTCATGGAACCTGCCTACCAGCGGATTGTCATTGACTGCCTCAATGATCCAGATGAGACACTGAAAAGAAAGGTATGTACAACTTAGCAATACTAGTTATGTACATGAAGTTGTAGCTACAGTGTATGTAGCTACATAAGGGTGGCATGGATTTGAAGTTGATCAACGTCATCTGCACGCAATTTGAACTCAATGGGCACCTATTATTTCCATAATTATGTGGCAATTCCTTCTGTTTTTCACTTCCTTTTTCTTTACGTCATCTCTTTAACGTTGCCTTTACTAGTCACATACTACTGTGCATGTGAAGGTAGTTATCATCAGTAAGTTGTGAAGCTTGGACAGAATTCCTTAACTCAGTATCATTTAATATGGTGTTGTTTTTATGTATCTCATGTTTTCTCTTGATTGATCCCAGACATTGGATCTGTTATGCCATATAACAAATGCTGCGAATGTGGAAACAGTTTGTGATAAACTGCTGTCGTATCTCAAATCCACAACAGATGCGTATTTCAGAACAGAACTGGTCGATAGGATAACCGAGCTTGCTGAAAGATATCCTTTAATTCGTCAACTTCCATACTTAAACAAAAATATGTGTAGATTTTATATGTTTGTACATATTCGTGTCAACTGGGTCTCCAAGGTTAGGAACGAACCAACCAACCAACCAACCAGTGAACGAACCAACCAACCAACCAACGAGCGAGCGAGCGAACGAACGAATGAACGAAAGACCGACCGAACGAAAGTACGAACGAATGAAGAAGCGAACGAACGAACGAACGAACGAACGAGTGGACGTACGAACGAACCAACCACGACCCGGGCCAGAATATTCAACAAACGCACTCTGTGTTAAGCCCGCCTTATTATTTCAATAATTATTCCGTTAATAAGTAATGAACCCTTGACATGACTGTCAAATATGCGCCAGACAACTCGTGGTACATTCTGACTATCAATGAGGTGTTTGAGCTTGGTGGATCGCTCGTCAGAGAGGGTGTGGCACACAACTTGATGCGGCTCTTAGCTGAAGGTGCGCTATGCTAAGTTCTTTTCATTTCAGTATATGCTCACCACAGAAATGATTGTTCAGGTTTGAGTTTTAACTCTGACTTTGTTTGTGGACCTCTCTGATGTCCTATACAATTAGCAAATATCAATCGCGAACTGCTTGGGCCGGTATCGTTCAGAAACTCTTGGTGCCAACAAGCATTTAGAAACTCCCCGGGGATAGCAACATGCAGAGACTCGTCATGGCCTTTGGCATAGGAAACGCTTTGTGGTTGCTACAATTCGGATATTTTTCGTAGCCAATAGCAATCAGAAACTTTGCGGTTTCTTGTTACTGAAAAACGTTTCGGCTGCGTCTGGAATATTTGCATCCAATGAAGGAAAAAAAATATATTTTGAATAGTTAAAAAAAATAGGTTGATCAGGTGTTTATTGAATAAAACCTTTAATAGTGCATGATAAGCGTTAGCGCAAGGGGAGCGTAAAACTGGCGGGCAAACTGCGTTATGTAATATTTAATCGCCAGCAGATGTCTCGCCTTTCTTAAATCCACAGGAAATGATGATGAGGAACTTGATAATGAAACCCGCCGATTTGCTGTATTGTCCTACATCGACCTTCTTGAAAAACCTGTTTTACCGGATATTCTGGTTTGGGTTATTTGCTGGGTGAGTTGAATCTTGAACTAAGGGAACTATTAGGTTATTTTGTAAGGAAAGTAAAGATAAAATGGACCTTATGGTTATGGACCTCGACCGCGCCCTGGCTCATAAACATGCCAAAAAATAAAACAGAACTCTGCCAATATGCAGGGCTCTTTGTCCCACACTTGTGACGTCATGAACGTTACATCTTTCTTATTTATTTACTACCGCCCGAATTTAGAAAAGTATTTTTAAAAAGTATTTAAACGAATTTAACACTTCGTATTAATCCATCCTCTTTGAAGGTGTTGGGAGAATATTCATACGCAGCTTCCGAATACGAGCCGCGAGTCATTCTTGAACAACTTTTCTCGTTGCTGGAAAGGAAGTTCGAAGGTATGAACAGAAACTTCACATGTTCTTGACTAAACTTTTGCGAGCTATGATCGTAGCGAACTATCTTGTACGTTTTTATTTATGTAAAACCAGAGGTTACCTTTTACGCTTCCTGAAAGTGCCCATATTGTTTGTTTGTTTTCGTTTTTTTTACTTTTTCGCCTAAATCTGCACATCACCCGACGAAGGAAAAGAAAACTGAGATGTGAACGAAACGTCATTTCTTATCACTGTGTTTTAAAGTTTCTGTTTTTTTGCGGTACACCTACGCCGCTAATTAAGATGGTTCATGTGAAAAAGAGAAAGAATTCTGCTTTGCGCGCTCGTTTTGTTTGCAAAACGAAAGCAAAAAGTGAGTGTTGGTTTCTTGTTGTCTTGGAAACGCATCTTTCTGGTAAATTGCAGTCTGAAGCCACGTGTTCCTGACGTCACAGCTCTTTTGACAGGGAGAAGAACTGAGAGAAGACTGATGCGAAGGGTCAGCCAAAATGGCGGCAAATTTTAAATTTTTGGAAAATTAGTGAAATCAAGGTCGCGAGTTGGTGGCCTTGAATTGTGTGTGTGTGTGAGTTTTTTTTTCGCAGAGGTTTTTTACGCGCAGTGTAAATTCGAGTGAAAAAGTGAAAAAAAAAAAAAGAAAATACGGTTTACGGGAACTTTAACACATTCTTATTAAAAAAAAGGTGGGAGTAACCACCTTCCTCTCAAGTGATTCTCTTTCTACACTCCTACATACATGTTCTTACAGAGTTCCTGTTATGTAATGTAGCAGTGTAATCTTGGCTGATTTCAACGTTTGTCATTATTTAGATCCCAGTACCAAGGGCTGGATAGTGACTGCTATTGGAAAGCTGACGTCACAAATTGGACAGCTGGATGATGGCACAAGAAATGTGTTAGAAGAACACGTGACAGGCACGGATGTCGAGCTTAGACAGGTCAGTAACCGAGTAGTGAGAATTTGCCAACCGATGCCATGTTATATTTCATGCTTGGTTTATTGCCAAAGTAATAAAGGCAGACCTCTATCTTGTGCTATATTTTTCCCAGCGTTGTTCAGAAATTCAAGAACTTTCTCAAAACGTTTTCCTGATGCAAAGTGTGCTACCTTTAGATGGTTGCTGTGAAGAACTGGAGGTGAGTGGATTCGAAACAATTCAGTCGCTTTTCATTTTTGTCCCGCGATAGGTCATTTGAGTCTCCTTTTCGGCCCTTACTTGTTCGTCACGAAGGACTCCTATCGGAGCATTACGTCACGCAACACTTTTAAAGAGCGTGATAATCAACTAACATCTCCAAACGGAGACTTTGGTTTTTTTTATCTCGCTGTTGTTAAATCTGTGCTAATGGACTTCCTTAGGCGGACATCTCTCTTAAGTGGTCACTTGCCTTCGTTACAGCCAAACTAACAATATAGCTGACCATGAGAAGACACCTCTCCCAAATGGACATAGGCAAAAATGAAAATACCAACATAACTTCCCATGAACGGACACCTCTCTGAAGTTTCTTCGTCCCAGCCACTTACAATCACCTCATTTTTTAAGACTCTCTGTAAGTAGGCACCTCTCCTTAGTAGACTCTCCCACTCACAGGAATTTTAACTGTGCAGACTACCCCCGAAGAGTCAGATCCAATGAACAAAGGAATGTATGTATTGTTCTGCGTTTATTTGGCGTTGACAGGTGGACGAATCCTTGTCTTTCTTGGATGACTTAGTATCAGAAGCGCTATCTAATGGAGCTTCTCCATACAGGCCCATGAGAGAGCGAGAGATCGACACAAAAGTTAAAGGTCTGTAGTTCGCTGGCAATAGCATTATGATAAAATAAAGTTGTAGGATAGAGAGTTTTGTACATTAGGCAGCTTGATGTATCAGTTGTCTGGTAACGTCTTGTAGTCCAATAGTTCTAGTAGAAGACTTTATTTACCTTGACTGACTAGAACAAAATAACGAACGGGGATAACTCTCTTTTTGTTAAATACCGTTGTACAGATAAGTAATAAACTTGCGCATCCCCGCTAATGTAAAGTACTGAAAATAGAATTGAGCAAGGTAGAAGTTATCGTTTCTATTTCTCGCTAATAAATTATTCACGCTCCCTAATGCGTCACGTTTCCGTTTGTCTTTCAGAGGTTCCAGATTCCCAACCGAGCCTTAAGTTCACACCTTACGAAAATCCAGTGAAAATTTCTAACAAACCGCCACAACAATCATCTGTAGCACCTGAGATAAAAGAGCAAGCAAAGGCCGCCAAGCCTGCTAAAGAGCGTAAGAATATTGAAACCAAAGTGAAAGGCCGAACCCATGCAAAGACCATCGAGGTGTCGCCTCCTAGTAACAAGCTCTTTTCTGGAAAGGCTGTGTGGGGACCTGGGGGCTACGTAAGGGATCGAGGGCAGTCTGGGTCAGTGGAGTCCAGTAGTAAGTCTGATTCCTCATCGCGGAGCTCTGGGTCTGACAGGCAAACAGTCGTTAAAACGAAAGCTGAGGTGAGAGAATCTGAGAATCTATGTGGCAGCCTTCTGTTTTTTTTTTTTTTCGCCAAAGGGTTTTTTTTTCCCCTTTCCAATGAGCGGTTAAATTCCAAGTGTATCGAGAAAGTTACAAGCAGTAGAACTGAGAAGTTACGACCTTATGAAAAGATTCTAATGAGAGGAATAGTCTTACTCTCATTCGTCATTCTCTACATTTTTGTAATTTTAAAGTATATTTAATTGTGTACGGGTTCGCGACTCTAGGTCAGCACCAGTCCTTCTGTGACTGATCAAGAAGACGTCCGCAAACAACAACTAGCCACTCAGCTCTTCAGTGGTGTCACAGACAAACAACGTCCATCTGCAGGCAGAGGTCACTTGGCAGCCAATAGGATAACTAGAAACCCTGGGAAAACAAGGTTAACTGCTGCTAATTCTGGAATGACTGCATCAGCCGATGATCTATCGCATTCTGTAAAAGGCATAGCTTCAAAGTCTGCAGGAAAATCGAACATGGATCTTTTGCTAGATCTTGAGAGCACTGGAGCTTCTCGTATTGGAGAAGAAAAAGCTTCATCCGGTAATGATGTCCTTCTCTCACGTTTGGACAACACAACAAAATTAATACCGCCAAGGGATAATGAAACGTTAAATAGCACACGGGAATCTTTTGATTCTGATTCTCCTGTGGTGATGAACACAAGTGAGGCTGGTTACGGGAACGCTCAAGAGGTTTGGCATATCTTCTTATTTATTTAGCCGTTTTCCGTGAAAATAATTCTGACTACATTAACACGAGACGTTGAATGTGAATAGTTTATTGAGGATGCTTCAGTCAGTCATCTGATGCAGATGTATCCCTTCTAACAATTATAGCTATTACTTCTAACAATTAGAACCTGTGCTACTCCAGATGAGAAAAACCACTAAAACCCACCTTTTAGATGTGGCCAAAAATGTGGAAGCAGCAGGAGACCCTCAGGATAGGATGCGAAATCAATAAGCCAGAACATTATACAAACATTTATACAAGCTGTTAAAACAAAAGCTTAATCCAAAAGGGTGGGCGAACACGAAGACTGACTAACCTAGAATGACCTGAATCTTCCGCCAAAAGCCTAAATGGTCCCTTGACGTCCCATGACATCCCGCGATCCCTTCTATCGTGCCGTCAGAATAATAACTTCTGACTAACTCGCTGTTACTCAATCGCCATAAATTACATTAGCTTATAGTCGACCAGGTTTATTGTTTCACATGCAATGCTAGTTCATCTCGGAGTGGGATTCTTATCTACTATAATTTGTAGGTTTATTTAGGCTTTACAAACTACTGAATTTTCCAACATAAAACTGAGGAATACTGAGGAAATCAGAACATAAAAATGGACATAATACCTGTAGATTATGGGAAGAAAGGCGGACGAGAACGCGGAATCTGATGATCTGTGGAAGATGAAAGTGACAGGCGGCGCATTTTGCCCGTGTATGAAGTGTAGTCACAATCAACAATTCACCATTTTGTTTGCCAAAGCACATGAGGCAGAAAAAGTAATACAACGAATAAAATAAATATGTTCGTGTTATCTATTAATTATGTGATAATTGTTCTTATGTGGAAAAGTTAGTGCAACTCAGTTACTAATTTCAGTGCGGCCACTTTTTCCCACTTGAAATCAAAATAGTATCTTAACTAGCAAGTGCTTGAAAAAACTTTATACAAGTGTTTAAAGTCCATCTTTTTATTCAGCAGTTTAACATTTCAGATGTAGAGATAACCCTTCCAGGGTGCTCACTTCTTTGGAACTGTAGGTGGATTAATAACATTCGAAACTTGTCTTCAGACATAAAATTGATGCTCTTTTCTTTGAAATATTATGTTTGAGAAGTAATTTAAAATGTAATTTCACACTAAGGGAAAATGTCATTTCCCAGGTATTTTTTAGTTCGTTATAATTTGGACATTTCTGGAGATAAAAATCGATTTCTTTGCAAAGTGAAAACGTTTAAGACTTTGAATGTTGTGTCTCTAAGAATAATGTATCTTTTTGTATAATGGTCTACTCAGAATACAACTTTGCTGGACGAAGATATTACAGAACGAATTCACCGATTAGAGCTCACAGGCACACCATCTGCTTCTTTACCGGAAGACTTGGTTGACTTCCAGCATTCTCCAGAAGCTGTGGAACTCTGTTTCGATAGCAATCTTCGTGTTACTCTTCAGAAAGTCTTCAAACCTCTCGAACTTGTTCTTGTTCTTTACCTGACCAATCAGAATCAGGCTAACGCGCCGATCCATGACGTCAGCAGCGTGCTAGAACCACCCTCCAATCTGATTGGCTCCTTTGATTCGTCGACAAGTAACAAACTTCAGGATGAATCCATTGGTCCTCTCGAATGGGTAGGAATATCATCCCTTTGTTCAATTTCTAATTCCGTGTTATTCTTGTTGCTTTCCCTAAGGCTTGTTTTCGTGTCCTTATCTGTTTATTAATTCCTCTTAGAGCGGTTTTCAGTTGAGTGTCGAAAGTAATCAGGCAATTAATTTGGTTTCGTTTTTGGTTTTTCTGTGCTTTGGGATTGGCTGAGTAGTCTAATTGGTAAGTACTTGGTTTGGTTTTGTTTTTATGACACTCAATTGAAAACCGCTCTAATAAACTGTTCAAACATGCACTGTAGATCGGATTGTATAATTTTCCCTTGTCCTCTAACGTTTAGCTGTAATTTTATAAGGTTTCCCAGTGAATCATGTATTGTTGAACTATATAAGATCAACTTGTAAGCCTTCTTTATAATATCAAAACATCTTGACAAACAGACAAGGTGGTGAACATGCAGGTTGCCCAGCATACTAACGCCAAGTTGTTTCTTTATAGGCGAGGCACAAAATTGAATTAAAATACAAATCTCCTGCTCTTCATATGAACTTTAGTGGCAAAATTTCGTATAAAGATCCTAACAGGACATCAAAGCATTTGTTTTTTAATCACACTTTGAACATCAGCGACATTTTACGGCCTCTTGCGATAAACACGGAAGACTATGGACAAAAGTGGACCGAAGCTTCGTTTGAAAAGAAGCAGAGACTATCAAGTTCACTGAAAAACTGTCAAGACATCTGTGAAACAGCGGAAGAACAGTTACGACTTCACACGGTCGAACAAATAGGTGAGAAGTACTAATATAAGGCACCGTCTACACTACACCAGAGGAATTTGAAAACGCAACAATCAGCGGCCATTTTGCATTTGTGTTTGAGGAAAACTCGGACAGGGGAATACCGTGATTATCGTGACGTCATCGCTTACGAAAAGCTTTGTTTTCAAAATGTTTTCCGTCCACATTAAGACGCAAAGCCGGCGTTTTCAAATTCCTCAGGTGTGAATAGCGTTTTCGTGACTGAAGGCCTAGCCGGAAGAATAAAGCATTTTCCAATTTCTCCGGCGTAGTTTGGACGGTGTCTTAAAGTGGCCCAGCCTGGTCATTCTCGCATCGAATTGTTAATTGAACACAAGGGTTTTCGACCTGAGCTCTTGCTTGTAGCTTACTCATTTCCCTAAATCTAGATCCGAATTATATTCTTATTTTATGTTCTAAAAAAGACTGATTTTTCTCTTCGCCCACCTTTTGATCAGCGAGAAACTGTGCGCAGTTTAAAACTTTGAGTTTTAAATCAATCAGCCACAGGTCCAAGAATACAGCCGCCTACGGAAAGTCCTTTGTGGTCTGCACAGCGCCTGTTTTCAGGAGGCTCGTTTTGTATTTGGTCGCGTATATGGATAATAGCGGCTCTTGTTATAGGATTGCCTTGTCTTTGAATGACACAGTGCTATTTCTTCTTAGGTACAAAAGTTATATTGGCTGGTACCGTGATGCAGTGTGGGATATGTCTGTTGCACATCAGCTGTAGTAGTGACGATTTAGAACTGTCAATCAAGTCGAACAACAGACTTCTAAACGATGCACTGATGAAATATTGTGTGACTATCCTCAGATAACGCTTCAGCGCCTGGCGGTTTCTGCTGTGGAGAAAATGGTGCCAGGTCAATATTTATTTCTTTCTTATATCCCGTGCGGTTGGCGTCACGGACGATGTTGAACTTCGACTTGAACACGGTCCCATAATTGAATGATTTCTGTCAATTTTTCTGTTTTCTCAAATTCGACTGTGGATTAGCGAACGGACATATATACCACAAATATTTAAACGAGTTAACGTACAATTCAATCGTAGGACTCTTGCTCTCATTATGTATGTATTAACTTACAAACCTCGAGGACTGATGGGTACTCGGAATATTCTTGATAATACGTGTGGTAAGCGATCGATAAGGAGAAGATTGTTTCCTTGTATTAGTATATATGAATTGTTGTTCTCAGTTTGGAAGCCCCTACGCCCGAATGTAGCTTGTCCACAGCTTTGAACAGCACATTTTGTTGTCTTTATTACTGGTTCGGATGGTCTTGGGTGTGACCAGGGTTCGGAAAGCAAGAATAGCTGCAGTTTTGTAGCGGATTTTGAGGTTTAGGAATTGACTCACGAGGAAGGTAAACTTGGTAAATTCTATTGTCTCATAACAGAGGAGGATTTTCAACACTTGTACAACGCTTCGTAGAGATGACTAATGGTCAAAAAATCTAATTTTACACCATAGCTAATAGAGGGGACTGGTTATGAAGCCCGGCAAACATCAAGGGAGCAAACAAAGATGGTAAGATTTATGTGGAAGGTCCACGACCGTGCACAATTTTTTGTTTTGCACTCATACACTATGCATGAATTAGGAAACCAACACGTTTCTTTTGGTTAGTTCCTCGGTCAGTAGTAAACAACTATGGTGTTTTGTGCACGGTCAAGGCCAAAAAAGCGAACAAAAACACACAACAAAGAACTTTGTCGGGTTTCATAACCATTCCCCTCTGTTAACTTTGTTTACACATTTCTTCATTTACTGTAATGCCAAAAACCTCAATAAGTCCTGAATTGTGATATTTACCTCTGTCATAGCACAATAGAGATTACCTTTTATCACTAAATTATGTAATCGTTTAAGTATTTCACTGTCTTTCTAATGTAGCCGAAGACTTGGACACAAAATTGCATTTTCTGCCGTGTTTACTACAACACCTTGAAAAATCCTCGTCAACGGTTCACAGTAAGACGCAACAACCTTTAAGTGTAACAGAAATTTTTTAGCGGAATCTATGGTAAAAATTCAGAGAATGAGAAATATTTTTTTAATAACTGTAATCTATTAAGGGACGGACCATTTTGTTTTTATTTTTTTAAGGCGGGGGGGGGCGGGGTAGGCAATTTTTGGGGGCATGATTTTTTTTTTCTCACCTTTAAGCTGTATATGATTGTTTTTTTGGTGGGCAATAGCTTGTGCAACAATTTTTCTTTAACGTCAAAAACAGGACCTGAATAGTAGAATGCTTGTTCTTGATTTTTTCCCCATGGCTTCCCTTGCACGATTTTTTTCCAGTTGTACTGTGCAGGAACTTTTTCGAAATCGCCGAACCCTCCCCCCTCAAAAAATAATGGTCCGTCCCTAACGAGCGAGGGCCCCGCTGGACCTTAAATGTAGCTGCTATTTTTAGTTCTTAACTATATTTGTCAGGTGGAAAGATATGCAACTTTCAGAGAGATATTAAAATAGAAACGTAGTGTACGTTGAGACTTGTCTTTGAGGTCTTTTTTTAGGAGTTATACCTCGGACGAGACTAAGATGTTGTTGATTGGGCTTTCAATAGACATCTCGAAGGCATTTGACAACTTTAAGTATGATCTCCTACGAACTCAATTTTACACTTTGGGCGTCTCTCTCTGCTAGAAACTGGTTTGAAACTTGCTCGTCCCAACGCCAGCTAGGTCGTGATCAGGCCTGAGAGGCCTGGGTAGTGATGATTGAGGATGCTTGGGAACCAATAGACCAATTCTGGTCCTCTATAGAGGGAGGGGATAGAACTGGACCAGGAAACCCAGAGAAGACCATTTACAAAAGGTTCGAGAAAATAGCCGCGGGGAACACAAAAGTTTAAATGCATAGTGAATCGGAGATACATCCATTGTCTTCTTTTGGGAATGGGAGTTGGGTCGGTTGATGCATGAGACATTTAATATTTCGGTGCAATAACCTTTGTTTCTTTCAGTCCTTGTTGTGAAGATCAAACCTTTTTTCATATGTATCATGATTTTGGTTACCAGAATTAAATAGGTGTCCGCTAACTGCACTTTCGAAGAAGGGTATCGCCAGGCTAACAAGTTTGCTATCTAGCCTCTTGAGGCAGCTTTTAATATTTCAAGGCGGTACAGTGAGTCAAATATTATAAAACTGAGCGACAATAAAGTCACTCGTTGTGCGAGGCAAACCAATAGCGCCCCAGTTTTAGAGGATAACTGGTCTGATCTTCATCTCGGCTCGCTTCATGGGGTAATTAGGTCCTTTCCAGTGATACCAGCTGACACCATCACCAACTGAAGAGTGTCCGCCGTGATGATACAAACCGTTCAGGTTGGACTGACGACATGACTTGTACCACCAGGCTCCTTTAAACTCCGCAGCACAGTCTCTGCTGCTGCTGTCATTATCCTGATCTTTGGTGCTAAAGCGTTTACCACTATGAGTAGAAAGAGAATCACCAGCCAGTCCTGAAAAGCAGACAATCGCGAAGATAGATGAGGATTTAGAAATAAAAGTATGTTCCGTGTTTAGTAAAAATCTGCTAGTATTCCACTCGCGCTTGTTGGATATGGGATGATTACTGAGCCAACTCGGCGCAACGCGCTTCGGTGGCTGCTTATCTCATATCCAACGCGCGCTCGTGGAATATGTGGAATTGTCTTGTTGCTTTACGCTTTTTAAGCGCCCTAGTCAGCCACACCTTTCTTTTTGTTTACATGCGAGAGTTTGGCTATTATATTTTATTCGGAGCATGTCGAAACGAAGGAAATCATTGTGAAACTACTAAGGATAATTAAATATACTTTCAGGAACACAACTTACAGTAAAGCAATATCAATAACTTCCATTACATCGAAAATGGCTGAGGTTGACTAGGGTCCTTTAAAGGAGCTAAGTCATTTGTGCTGCTTGAAAAGTTTAGCCTAAATATTACAAGTTTGAGTATTGTAATCCGTGTTAAGCTTCACCATCCTAAACCGTACACGTTCCTTAATGGTTTATTATTATCTCTTCAATAATATGCATGAAAAAATTACTCGATTCTGATCGGCTGATCGGCTGGCTCGTGCAATTTCAGCTTTTTGAAAAACTCACTCGTGCAAATTAATTCCAAATTGAACTCGGAACCGTATGATTACCTATACTAATTTTCTTTATATCTTAGCAACTACTATTTTCAAGTTTCCTTGAAACTGAAGTTAATTTTTTGCGTGGCAAAAATAACCGCGTATGTGTCCTGACCAAGCTCCTTTAATGGTATCACTCCGATCTTCACAACGAGCCAAACTCGTCGTTCTTCAAAAGGAAACGAACAAATAAACAAACACCGTTTATAGACTGATTTAAGTTAGTTAATGTTTATTAGCGGTGCACGAGAAGAGGCTGCAAAATTAGATCCCGGCTGTAGCTTCATAACTTGTAGGATGTACCTGAATATGATCCAAGACTAAGAATGCACTTAGATGCTTCATCCTCAATTACAAACATGTCGTACTCGGCAAATCTGGTCTCTCCCTGCCAATTCTCTAATTCCACTCGAAGCTTGAAAGTATCACTGTTGGTCAGGCGGTGTATCTTGTCCAGTCCCAGCCAAAACTCGCCATTCAGGTTACCAAAGTCGTTCTCACAGTCGGCCCAGCCGCGGTAGAAATCAACGGAGCCGTCTATCCTCTTCTGGGACACAGTGCACCCTCAACCGTCTGAACCATCAGGGTCTATTGTATAAACACCACCGCTTGTTTTACCAGCGTTGTACAGCTCATTACAGCTTTTCATTGGAGCTGCAAGGAAGATTTGAATTAAAGTGACTGCCTGCGTATGAACGGTGACTTCATGATCAACTAGTGCCGTGAGATAATCTCAGGTAATGCAGAGTGCAATGTGCAGTCCCAACCTGTGCTCAGTCCAAATTTGTATTGGCATCGGTAGTCAGCCTGGGCTTTTTCCCGTGGAGAATATGAACAGAAAATGAAAGGACAAGTAGTGTGAAGGTTTTATGTTTTAAGTTTATTCAAGGTACAAAAATAACTTATCAGAGCATCACTCTGTGTGGTTCTGGAAACGGGAGCAAAGCGTATCACCCTAACCGTGCCATTCTCAAACGTATGGTCCTACCACAAGGAAAAGCAGACAGCGTTCGCGAGAAATGTGTCGTTTACTTCGTCTGTAGTCGATATCGTAGTCTGTAGTCTGTAGTCCACTTAACTGAGCGCGCGTAAAGAGCAAATTGCTTTTGTTCTTCAAAGAATAGTAACACAAAGAGAACTAGGGGTCTTCTGACAAAAAATGTACAACACTTTTTACGCCGTACAAACAGGTACCTGCCCCAACCCACTCCAGCCCCTTCATCGCCAGCCCACTGGATCATCCCAATAGTGCACTCGGCGCAATAAATACCAATAATGCAATGTCTGACAGACAGACAGACAGACAGACAGACAGACAGAAAGACAGAAAGACAATACTTTCTTTGTCATGTAGGTAATTAAATGGCAACTAAAAAACTGGTGTTGACCTACAAACTAAAGTATAACTACAAAATTTAGATGAGAAAAGAAAAGGAAAAGAAACTTAAGTTTTCAGTCACTCGAGTTTTCAGTATACATACAAGTTTTGCAGTGGAAAATCAAGTCTTGGGAAGAACAATTTTAAAAAGTTGAAATAATACCTTTTGGTATACCTTTTGATATGAAATACCAGGTTTGAAAACAAACTCCATGATTAATATCACATGGACGTGATAAAAGTTTCCAAGATTAAACATTACGCAATTTGACAATCAGCGTAATATTTCCATTAATTATTTTCCTACCTACCGATGCATTCGCAAACCTTGGGCATTTCATTTAACGCGCATTAGTCCGCATTCGTGCATCCAGTCAGCGGATAATCGTGCTGTAGGCAAATGAAAGGAGAATAAAGGAGATCGAATGTGGCGAACGTTTGTGGATGAAAATTAACAAGTTACCATCTCTATGTGGATGAAAATTAACAAGTAGCAATCTTTATCAAAACTTAAAGGTGTCTTTTGAATGGTACATTCCATATTTTTTGTAATTGAGCACCAAACTTGTGGGAATGTTCGTGCCGGTAAAGTTCCAATGCTACTTCATTTCGCCGCCGGCAATTCGTAAGACGACGCAGGCAACAAAATTTCCATCCAATGAAAAAACTCTAGGCTAAAAAGCCCGATCAGACAGGACAAGAGAGCTCTAGGTTCGCTTAGCTTATTCACCAGTTGACACAACATGTTTGCAGGCGTGGCCAAAATTAACTAAACCTCGGCAGAAAATATCTGAAACACAAATATAGTTGCCTCGCAGACCATACCACTCTCAGGGCCATAGCTATTAACAGGCGACCCGAGGCCCTAACATCGGTAAAAAGTTTGGAATTTATATATTTATTTCAAGTTTCGACAAGTTCGCGTCAGAGGCTGCGCATTTGAAAAAAATAAATCAATACAAAAAAAACGTTTTCTTCTGATATTGCCTCGGTTAAAATTTTACAGTGCGCCTGTCTACAGTACGCCGGAGAGATTTGAAAACGCAACAATCACTGCTCATTTTGGCAACAATCAGCGGCCATTTTGGATTTGTGTTGAAGGAAAACTCGGGCACGGAAATTGCATGATTATAGTGACGTCATAGTTTTCGAAAAGCTCCGTTTTCAAAATTTTTCCCCCCACATTAGAACGCAACGGCGGGGTTTTCAGATTCATCCGGTTTGAAGAGCGTTTTAGAAAAGCTCCATTTTTTTGACGGATTATACTGAGTGTGGATGGCAGGCCTAACCGTAGATGTCACGTTGAGTTTTCAAATTTCTCAGGCCTAGAGTGGACGCGCCCAAATCTTGCTTTTCCTGGAGAAAGTCAGCCATTACGAGAAATAAATCAACAATGGCTCTAGTTGGAATCGAATGATGTCTTTACATAGCTAGCTGCTAGCAGAGTACTATATCAAACACGAAAGACCGTGTATGACCACATTTCCAAACACCGAGCAGAGAGTTGAAACCACGACACGCAGTGGAGTATTTTTGACGAACTTCCGGGTGTTTCGTAACGTGGTCAAACACGGTCTTGAGTGTTTGGTATATCTTGTCAATCGAAACTAATAAATATAAGAAGAAAACGGAGAAATAAAATCTTAAAGATCTATGTTAATAAAGATCAGATATCCGAACACCGTCACGATGATGATTTCCGTTGTTTAAACGAGATAAATTTTATGAGTTTGAGAAGTACAGTTCTAATACCGACAAACAAACTAAACAGATTCAGAGAATCGTGAAAATATTACGTAGGATATGGATAAAATTAAATCGACGTTGTCCTCGGCCTTGCTGCTGTGGTTGCTGAAACCCCCCAATACTTCAGTTGTACATACACAGCATTGTTGTGTTTTGCATATCTCGTACCCGGTTTCCACGGTTTACGCGTGAAACGCCTGAGACCATAACCCCCCTTTTGGCGACCAAAACGCTTGCATTTTAAGACTCGGGCTTTCCTACGGAGGCCCGAGTAAAAATTCCAATCATTAAACGACCTTGGTCAATTTTCATAGAAGCTAAGAATTTTGATGGGTTCGTAAAAGTTGCTACCGGATTCGCAAAATTTTAAGGTAGATTCTAAAGAGTTTCAGACAGTATTATAATGATATGTTCAGTTCTCTGGCCACTAGCAGCTGGATTTTAAAAGGGGGATATTTAGCTGTTGCGAGTTTCTAGTCGAGTACTTGCTTCTATGAGCTCGCTTAGTGAGCCTGTTCCTTCGCAAGGATCACAAAACCAAATGGCGCCCCCGCGTGGAAATTACTGTCAGTCCTATCTGGGTCAAAAGCCCAAGGGTTCATACAACTTGTTACGTATACAACAATTCAGACTCAGCATTCAGACCTATTTTACAACTATTATACGATCCTGAGTTGAATCCTCGACCAAATATGTATACTAGGAAGTACTCTATTATAGGGCACTGAAACCTTGAATTTTCGTTAAAAAATAATAATAAAGCACGACTTATGACAGTGTAAACGGTACATGAAATCGTTCCTTATGGCAAAACCCCTACCCAGAAAAAACCCATCAGATCGCTCAGATTTGCTTCATATTTGGTTTGCTTTGACAGTGAGTTTGCAAAAAAAAAAAAAAGCACCACTTCTTAACAAGGATTCGAAGGAAGGAAGATTTTCTAGCAAGATTATCCAAATGTCATTACATCATTCCCAATCAGTTTTGAACATTTATGCAGATTTTGGAGAACATCCGACGACGTTTCGACCATTGATCCCCCCAAAAAATTTTATTCAGAACAAGCTACTAAGATCCTTATTAGACCAATATTAGTAGAGTTTTTTGATTTTGTTGTTTTGTTTTGTTGTTTTTTGTTGTTGCAAGTTTATGGACCAAGCCTTGTGCAAGTTCCATAAACTTGCGAAGACCAAAGACTTCCTAAGATCACCCAAGATCAAAACAATCGCGACGAACGCTTGGAAACCGAATTGAAATCTGAAATGCGGGATCATATTCCAGATGACTCCATACTAGTCTAAGTTAGACCGAAAATCTGTGGGCCTATAGCAGACTTCCTCTTTTCCGGCTAGACACTGAGTTATATAGTTCAGTAAAGCTCAACCAAGGGAGGGAACCGAAAGAAGTCTATTTACAAAAGGCTCGAGAATATGTCAACGGGGAACAGAAAAATTTAACTGCATATTTAATCAGTTATACATCCACTGTCTTCTTTTGGAAATGAGAGTCGCGACAGTTGGGGTCGAAGACATTACATTTTGCGTTCCAGTAACCGTTTTTTCCTTCAGTCCTTGTTGTAAAGATCACACCTTTTTTCACATATATCACGATGGTTTAATTTGGTGAAAATAACTAACTTGGTGCCAGCTAACTACACTTTCTTATATAGTATCACCCAGGAGCAACAACGAAGACCGGAATCGTCAGTGCCTAAAAGTTCTAACAGGTTTGTTATCTACACTCTTGAAGCAACTTATAATGTTTCAAAGCAGTACAGTGAGTCAAATGTTATAAAACTGTGTGACAAAAGAGTCATTCAAACGTGCAAGGCAAACCAAAAACACACCAGTTTTAGAAGTTAACTGGTCTGATTTTCATCTCAGCTCGTTTCATGGAGTAGTGATATCCTTTCCAGTGCATCCAGTTGATACCATCAGCATATGATGAGTGTTCACCACCTTGATGATACAGACTATTCAGGTTAGAGTAATGACATTCCCAGTACCACCAGGCTCCTTTGAAGATCACAGCACAGTTTTTACCCCAACAGTCGTTATCCTGATCTTTGGTTGTAAAAGAATAACCACCATGCCTAACAAGAGAATCACCAGCTGATCCTGAAAAGCACACAAAATCATGAATATTGATAATGAAATGGTTTAAAGTTCATACGTTTACACCAGAACACAACATTCTATATTTCGCCACAATTTACATTGACAGATAAAATCAACTAGTTTATAAATTTGTTTTTCTGCTGTGTTTAACAGCGTGTATAGACTGAAATATGTTCGGTTAACGTTTACTAGCAATGCACGAAAAGAGGTCGCAAAATTAGATCCTGGCTGTAGCTTCATAACTTGAAGGATGTACCTGAATATGATCCAAGACTGAGAATGTACTTAGAAGCTTCATCCCCAATTGCAAACATGTCGTATTCGGCAAATCTGGTCTCTCCTTCCCAGTCCTCCAGATCCACTCGAAGCTTAAAAGTATCACTGTTGGTTAGGCGGTGTATCTTGTCCAGTCCCAGCCAAAACTCGCCATTCAGGTTACCGAAGCCTTTCTTATAGTCGGCCCAGTCGCGGTAGAAATCAACAGAACCGTCTATTTTCTTCTGGAACACTGTCCACCCCCCGCCAGCTGTCGTTTGGTCGCAGAAAACATCAAAGGCTCCTGAATCATCAGGGTCTATTGTGTAAACACCACTGCTTGTTTTACCAGCATTGTACAGGTCAGCACAGCTTTTCATAGGAGCTGGAATGGAGATTTGAATTAAAGTGACTGCCTGCCTATGGACGGTAGATAGTGCAGAGTGTTAGGTACATTCCCCACCCGCGCTCAGTCCAAATTTGTAGTGACATCTTTTGTCTGCTTGGGCTTTTCCCCTTGCAGAATATGAAGAGTAAATGAAAGGACAGAAGCAGGGTGAAGGTTTCATGCGTATATTTTTATTCAAGATACACAAAATAATTCATGAGAATTAAGACACCAAGCGACATTGGAGACGAGAACCATAATATTTTCCATTCGGTACCTACTTACTGCATTCGTAAACCTTCGACACTTCATTTAACACGCATGAGTCTGCATTCATGCATCCAGTCAGCGGACAATTGTACTGTGGACAAATGAAAGAAGAATTTAGGAGTAATATGGCGAACGCTTGGGGATGAAAAGTAACAAGTAACTATTCGAGTTCTCTATAGAATTCTGTAAGTCATAAGTAAATCAGATTTCATGATGTGTGATTAGCTAGCTTTGGACGGCAGGAAGTCGTTGTATGGTAAACACATCTGTACTTTTCTCAGGCTTTATATGTTAGATAACACTCAGTTTCGACATGTACAACAACTTGATTGCATATTTCGGGCAAACTACAGTCGTGTACTATATATAATCTGACAATGAAAGAAAATGCAAATGACCCTTACCAATCAACTATCCCCAATGCCAAACTGAACAAGATGTTTTAGTAACTCAGCTTAAGACATGCAAACACCTTACCCGTGATTTGAAGGAAAGAGAAAAAGGTTCGGTCGATGTCTTTAAGAAAATATGCAAGTCACAACGATGGCAAACCATTTAATATATGCACGTGCGTTATAAACCTTCATTAGTACATTTCTTACAGGTAGCTGTCTTGCGAGGCGTCGTCCACACTACGCCGGAGCAATTTGAAAACGGCTTTCTTACTCTGAAAACGCATTGCATGTTTTCTGTCCACACTACGCCGGAGAAATTTGAAAAGGCAGCAAACACCGTTCCTCTCCGATTTTTGTTTTAGGAAAACTCGGGCAAGGAAATGAGATCCTTATCGTAATGTCATCCTTTTTGAAAAGCTCCGTTTTCCTATTTTTTTGCGTCCACACTTAAACTCAAAGCCGGCGTTTCGAAGAGGGTTTTTCAAAAGCTCCGTTTTGTTGGCGGATAAGTGTGGACGGTAGGCCTAACCGAAGAAATAAAGCTGTGTTTTCAAATTTCTTCGCCATAGTGTATTTAACTGTCTTCTGAGGAAACAACAACGTAAGATAACCAAATCTTGCTTTTTTTTCTGGAGGACATCAGCCATGACGCGAAATTAATAACCAACAGTTCTGGTTGGAACGGAGCGATGTCTTTACATACCTAGCTGAGGATAGTTCTAATACTGAAAAGAGATATTAAACATATTCAGAGAATAACGAAATTATTTCGTAGAATATAAATTAAATTTAATCGACGTTGTCCTCGACCTTGCCGCTGTGGTTACTGAACCTCCCCAAAACTTTGTACGCTCAGAGCATCATTTTGTTTTGTATATCATAGCAGCACATTTGTTTTTACCTTCCTGTCGTAAAATTGAGAATAAACTGTTTCTTCGTCATGTACAAACTCCCTTCCTTTGATAGCTTGAGGCAGCATAACTCCTCTGTCGTTCAACTCGCAAATTCCGTCTGTTTCCTCAAAAGTCGAAGCTTTGCGAAAATTTGTTGAAAAGCACCGAGGGTTTCTCTGACACTGCAAAGCACAAGATACCAGACTAGCAGAGTGAAATGTGTTAAAAGTGAAGCCTTTGAGTCGGCGATGATAACGAGTCAGAACAAGTCGGGACAGTGAGTTCTCGTCCGAAGCAATTACTCGAGATGTTAAAATTTTAGACACAAAAACTGCAGAAAGGAAAAATGAAAATTTCATTTTGAAGTCCTGTATTCACTCCATCAAACACGTTGCACTACTTGTGTTTTAATAATGTATGAAGCGTAACTGAAATATGTTTTACTATTGTTATGTTGTGGAAACATACTGTGATGGAAACTCAAATTAATCTTTACTTAAGGTTGCTTAAGCACTTCTCAGAAGGGTTTCAACATACAAGGCTCCAAGCATGGGCAGGTTATCAATAAGGGACGACACAGACAACTTTTTGGATCCAAAGTGATTTTGCAAGATGATGTAATATTACACCCAAGCTGCGTAAAGTAAACGAATAAATGTCCAGTTAAATTCTAGCATTCATTCCTTACAGATATGTAGATTAGGATATCTTTTATAGTGAAGCATAGAAAAAATGAAAATGATTAATTTTTCGATACTATTGTCTACTGATATATTCACATTCATCAAAATTTTTAAGGCTGTATAAACAGGCGGTTGGACGCCGGTTTCTAGTGAAAACGAACTTTGTAAAATCTTTATTGATTTAGAAATCTAATTTTATTAATCGTGCTGCAAAAAATATTTATTTAGATCGAATTGTAATTTTTAATTACACTGATAGAAATGGTAAGCTCTTAACACTATAAACGTGTTTTCTTTTCTTTTCTTTTCTTTTCTTTTNGAAGGAGGAAGGGTTCTACGTGACCAGCCGTGGGATGGGGCATCCTTCTCCACTGACGTCATTGACACGTGACGAGCCGGGGAAGGTAATTTCACGTGATCAGCAGGAAGAAGGGGGTATTCCCTCCACTGACGTTATTGGCTCGTCACGCCATCGTTTTGCCTACCTTTCTTTGTCATTTTATTCAAACTTTTATTGGCAGACATTTTGAATTAATTAAAACATGCTATTTACTGGTACCCCCTATAACTACTCACTTGTACGTAAACGGTCTGCACCTCATTTAAGCGGTTCATCAATCCCTACCTCACGAGCTCAAGGCATGAATTATAACATTTCTTTTAAAGAGCCTCTGTAGATAGAAAGGTGAGACCCTCCGATAGTGTTCAGTGCCTTCAACGTTGTTGGCATATCATGATCAAAACTTATAATCCATCAATATTTTTGCCCGCCCACGACTGGTCTAAACACGTCACGTAACTGTATATGCCCTCGCCAAAGATGGGGAATATTGGAGTGATATTCCCCAATTTTCAAAACGACGCGCGTTGCCAAAAATGTTTGAAGGATAATAAGCACAATCAGCCTACATTTGGTGCGAAAATATGTATAAGTAATCGTATGAATGCGAGTGTAATTAAGGATTTACACTTGAAAATCCTCTCAAACTGCAGGAGTCTTTAGGCGAGTTCAATTTGAAAGGATTTTCAAATATCACTCGTAGTGTAAATACTTAATTGATTGAGCTTTCATACGATTACTCATTTATATTAAATGTGGCCGGAAAAATCACTGCAGTGCAAATTAAAAGTTAACGATAGATGTGCCTCCTCTCACCCAATCACAATGAAGTAGTTTTCTCAGTTATATAATGAATTCGGAAAATTGTCCTTGGAAATCATCTGCTCGTCAAAGCTCACGGAAAACTGTTCGTTTCTCGAACAGATAATGTGTTGAGACAAATATTCGCGCATATTTTGGCACCAAATGGAGGTTATTGTTTATATAACGTAAAGGAACGCATCACAAGGTAGGGTAAGGCGAGGTAACGTAACGTAACGTAACGTTAAGTCTGTATAAGAGCCCAGTGGCCCATCAGGCTGGAGCTTATCCCAGTTTCTGTGGTATGAAACGACTAGGAGTATTTCTACACCCCCCTGGATGAGATGCTGGTCCATCCTTTCATGCACTTTCCAAAATCTTAAATGCTTTAGAAAGTTTTAGTAACAATACTATTTCGTTTTCTTTTTCTTTTAGACCGAACTTTAATTTTTACTGAGTAACACTGGTAAAAAAGCTCTGAACACTATAAACGTGCATTGTTTTTTTAGGCTTTTAGAAGAACTACATACCTCTCGTCCCCACCAGAGCTTTTCAGGAACAATAACTTTAAAATTTACAATTATAGCGGAGCTCCTGCCCGTGGAAGTCGCGCAAGCGGAGCTTCATACCTTAGAGTCTTTGGTAACCAGGGCCCAAAAACTCGGTTGTCACGTGATTGTGCGTACGCTACTTGCACTGCGCCTGCGCGAGCCGATCCCTTCACCTTGAAAAATAAGAGTAGTAGTAAAGAGTAGCACCACAAACATAGGTACATCTTTGATGTTGGATTCATGTTATTGCTAATTGACAGCTGTCAAAACAAGGTATCCGACCAGTATCACTTGACCATATCGCGGGCTCAGGCTTTTAGCTACTTGAGCTCACGTGTTTTTTGAAGTACTGGTTTTCGATTGGATCGCTCGCTAATGCCAGGTTAACTTACTGTAATCAGGAGTTCCGCGTTTTTCCGCTCCGAAGTTAGTCGATAATCTACGAAGCTAAGAATTTTCTTAAACGTTTATGCCTCGGTGTCTTTTTTAAAATGCTACTGGATTAGCAAAAAACGTAAGGTAGACTCTAAAGAGTTTCAGACAGTCTTATAATGATATGTTCTCTGGCCAGTAGCAGCTAGTTTTAAAAAAAGGGATATTTAGCTGTGGCAAGTTTCTAGTCGAGTGCTTGCTTACATCAGCTCGCTTAGTCAACCTCTTCCTTCGCAAGGAAAACAATACGAAATGGTGGTTCCGCGCGAAAATTACTGTCAGACCTATCAGGGTCAAAAGTCCAAGGGCTCATACAACTTGTTACGTATACAATAATTCAGACTCTGCATTCAGATCTATTTTACTACTATTGGGCGATGCTGTGTTAAATCCTGGACCAAATATTTATGCTAGGATACAGTTTGTTATACGGCACTCAAACCTTGAATTTTCGAAAACAAAAAAACGAATTATGTCCACGTAAACGGTACATGAAAACGTTCCGTATGGCAAAACTCCTACCAAGAAACAGTGATGATGAAAAATGATAATATGATGTCCTAGATGATCCCATACTAGTTTAAGTTACACTGATTTGACACTTTTAGGTCAAATCTGAGGGCCTTACTATTTTCCGGATAGACACTGTGTAATATCGTTCACTAAAGCTCAACCAAGGGAGGGAACCGAAAGAAGTCTGTTTACAAAACGTTGAGTATATCAACGCGGAACAGCAAAATTTAAGTGCATGGTGAGTCAAAAATACATCCATTGTCTTCTTTTCCGAATGGGAGTCGGGACAGTTGGGTTTGAACACAATTTTACAATAACTGCAGAAATTCTCGTGCGCTCATTGGCTAATTTTCATCGTCAATAAGCGGACAGACCCATGAGATTGTAAGGGATGTTGTTATTTTAAAAAACAAATTGACGTCAGTTTTTCATGCGTCTGTCCTGTTATTGACACTCAATTTCGCCATAACATTGTCAAAGTAGTCTGCGGATCGCCTCGTAGATCCACAGCCACTTTCACAATTGTATGACGAAATTCATAATCCATAACAGGACAGACGCATGAAAAACTGACGTCAAATTTATTAATTACATAAAAACCCAGATTATTCTCGTATTTTGATTGGTTCTCGCCTATGATCTATTAGAGGACAGACGCACGAATGACGTCATCATTACAAAGTTTTTCCGTCTGTGTTAGAGATTCTCTTGTTCTGTGTTTTAAAATGGTGGAAACTTTTGAGAATTTAGCTAATATTTTACGTGACTGGGCGAAAGATAAGGTTTGTGTATCGCGTTTCGCTCTCTGCCCGCTAATCCACCTGTTCTGCAGGCTAGTACAAAAACGTCTTGTCGAGGCATTGATCAGGTACGAAAAGCAGGAAGAAGAAAGAAAAAGCTGTTTCTTTTTTAAGAAAATGACTCAAAAAATATACTCGAGCAGTCTCAGTCGACCCAATCAACAAAATGTTTATGAGGTTAACTGGTTTAAAAAATTCAACTTTTCTTAGTCTCAAAATAATTGTTGAAGCAGATTGATTTCAGGAATGAAACGTTAAAACATCACTTCTTAAAATCAGTTAAAATAAATACATAACCTTGCTTTACGACGCGAATGTTTCAGTCCGTTTTAGGGCACAGCAGCGAGCAAAGTATAGCACACTACAACTCGCGGCCAATTGTATCGCAGCCGTAAGCCAAAAGGTGTCTCCGATACTATACGGTAAGCTGATTTGAGAATCACCAACCACAGAGGTCACAAATTTCCACCGTCTATAACGCTCCTTTCATTCAAAACTCGAATCAAATGGCCTCCAGTGTTGACCGCAACCGCAAGGTTTCCGAGCGTATTTTTTAGCTCCTGCTATATCCAAGGCAACGTTCAAGCTTTTCGGCTCACAGAGCTGCTCTGATGACAAACACTTAACATTCCAGCATTTTCTTTAAGATTTGGAGATTTCGTAGTTCGGCGCCCGTCTGTTCAGTAATAGACCACAGAAGACATCAAAATGTGGTAAGAACATCAGTGACACACTCGGCTATCGCCTCTTATGTCACGTTTTTGTTCTTGCCACATTTTGACGTTATCAGTGATCTATTACTGAACAGACGCACGGCAACATGGAATTCATTGCGCTTGAATAACCTTTTTCTTTCAGTACTTGTTGTAAAAATCACACCTTTTTCACATATATCATGACGATTTAATTTGTTATTTGTTGTGAGTTCGATTGTTAGCGATTGCCGATGGTAATCGACAACGATTGATTCATCGATTGGTATTGATCGGTATCGATAGTTGTCAGAAATTTTTTTTGTCCTTTTAGTACACTGATAAAGTAACTTACAAAATCTCTCTGTAATGGTTTTATTGAGTCATTTGATCTTCATAATAAGCGTATCTTTAACATTCATCAACAAAATAACGGGAACAGAAACAACTAATAACAGAAACATTTTGGGCTTTACATCCTACTTTGTTAGTTTACGACACCGGAAAGAGCTCAGGCAAGAGTTGCAGTGTAAAACCCTCCAGTCCCATTGTCCGGGAAAAAAAATGATAGATGGTTAAATAGTTATTGTCGATTTGTTCAGTCGATATTGCTGAAGAATACATAATCGATTGACCAGGCCTGGATTATCAACGAAGACTGACGGGAATCGTCAGTGCTTAAAAGCTCTAATAGGTTTGTTCATATTTCAAGGTACTATAATGAATCGATGGTTATTAAACTGCGTGAGAATAGAGTCGTTTATAATGTGCAAGGCAAACCAAGAACACGCCAGTTTTAGAAGTTAACAGGTCTGATTTTCATCTCAGCTCGTTTCATGGAGTACTTATGTCCTTTCCAGTGCTTCCAGTTGATACCATCAGCATGTGATGAGTGTGGTCCGCCTTCATGATAAAGACTATTCAGATTGGAGTCATGACATCCCGTGTACC